AAGAAAATAGTTATCCACCCATATTATCCATCAAAAATAGGTTGGATAATGAACCATTTAAAAATGGGTCGAATATGAATAAAGAACTTTATTATCCACTTAGAAAATGGATAATCAATGGATAACTAATGTATTTAACTTTTACATTTGTAAAGCCTCAAAATGGAGTTCTTCAAGTTTGGAAGACTAAGAATTCTCTCGTAAGTGATCATATTTAAGAAGCCGTGGATAATATGGATATCCATATTATCCACCGGATAAACCCATTTTTATCCGTCTCAAATACGGGTCGGGTTGGATAATTTATCTGTTTTTTAAAATTACCCGTTTTGACATGCTAATATCCGACCTGACCCGTCCGTTTGCCACCCCTGCTCTAGTGTTATCAGTAAGAGTACCAAAAAATAATGGTAGAGTTCAATTTTCATAGTTTCCCATCCTTTTCTGTGATCCAGTGGCGGAGGCAGAATTTTCGCCTAAGGGGGTTCAAAAAAAAGTTAAAAAATTAAAAGAAAATGTAGCCAATAGGGATTGAACAACATCCTTTCCCCCTTGACCACAAAGCTATACCTTTGGAATGTATCAATGGGATTCAAAATATATAATTTGAATTTTGCCTTATATGTACAATGTAATTTTCCGACGAAGGGAATTCGGATGAACCCATTCTACCCTCCTAAATCCGCCCCTGCTATAATCCTTTGATATAAAAAAAGGCAGCCCGGTGCACTAAGCTCTCGCTATGCGCGGGGTCCGGACAAGTCCACAAGTGGTCTATTTTATGCAGCCTTAACCTGCATTTCTACAAGGGAAATTTTCGCTCCTATACCACATAGGAAACTATATTACCAAATATGTTCATAGTTTGCATATTACCCGCCATGCTAATAGTATTTATACAAAATATAGATAATTCATTAAATAAGATATCATTGTAGTTGTAGGCTTCTTTATTTAGGCGCGCTAATATTGGAGAATTAAATATTCTTCCAGATATATCACAACGCAAATCACGCATAATATTATCGACTGTTTCGATTCAAAATTTAGCGACTCTGTTTTTGCAATACACTGTGTTTCAATATTTTTTTCTGATTTCACAAATCAAAAACGACTAAATCTTCTACAATTCTTTTGCAACAAACGCAATTATGTCCAAAATCCCAATTATGATACAACTGAATGGGAATTGAGATAGCTATGAGAGATTTAGAGAATTTCAAGTCGATGGCATTGTAGTTGATGAGGATGCGAGTTATAGTCTATTGATTTCTATAATAGCACAACAATTAATGATCGATATATCCGAAAAAATTATAGAAATCGAATATAAAGCAAAGGAAAAGAGAGCAGCAATTCCACCATTGACAGCCATTAAAAAGCTTTGAAGCTTTGAATTCGAATTTGGGTTTTCAAAAATCATTATTTGTTTGGATTGGGTGTTGTTGAAAATAATTGGGAATATGGTTTGGAGTTAATATCTCAATTTTGAGGGGTTTTGGTGAAGATTAGACTTGGTTTTGGCTGAATTTCAGATTGAAACTCGAAGAAGAAGAAGAAGACATGACATACATTATATTGCAGAAATTGTAGAAAAATTGTAAACTGTTGTTTATTTATTTCTTTTTTATTCATTTAACTATTCTATGAAAGTTGAACAACATTGTATAAAAATTGTATTTAAGTGGTATTATATTGTAATTGTGTATACATGGAGACGAAAAAGGAAAGCAAAAATTTAGGATCATATCTGCTATGTATAACTGTTCGCGATTTCAATATGGAATTGCGTATCACCAATGAGAACACAGTTGTAGGTTTGTGCTGTTACATTTTCTATTAAATTCTGGTTGTATATCAATGTCCTACACTTTATCTACATTTTATCTACAAAATAAACTACATGTCAGAGTAATATATATATATATCAGTATGGATTTTCACAATATCTACAAAATTTCTACATTTATTCTACAATAAAACTACATATCATTTGAAAAAATAATATGAAATACAGAATTTCAATGTTTCTACAAATTATATACAAAATTTCTACAAACTGTTCATAATAGAATTTATCTTTATTTTCATGCAGGTTCGTCTGGAACACTAAAGTTACTTGATATGCCAACATCTCCCGTTATAGAGGACTATGAAAGTATAATAATAACAGATAGTACACCAAGTTTTATTGAAGTAGGACAAGTATACCAAGACAAGCAAATTTCATACAACTAATTATACATAGTAAAAATAAATTTCATACAACTAATTATATATTATACAACTTATCTATAATTTTCTACAACTTTCACACATTATTTCCACCCAGTTAAATACAACTACAATAACATACAACTTAAACACAAATTTTATACAAATTTTATACAATATGTCTTTTGTATATTTTGTAACTAATTTATACATAGTAAAAACAAATTTCATACACTAATTATATATTATACAACTTATCTATAAATTATCTACAATTTGTGTACATTATTTCTACTCAGTTATATACAACTATAATATAATACCACTTAAATATAATTTTTATACAATGTTGTTCAACTTTCATACAATAGTTAAATGAATAAAAGAAAAATAAATTAACAACAGTCTACAATTTTTCTACAATTTCTGCAATGTAATGTATGTCATGTCTTCTTCTTCTTCTTCTTCTTCGAGTTTCAATCAGAAATTCAGCCAAAACCAAGTCTAATCTTCACCAAAACCCTTCAAAATTGAGGTATAAACTCCAAACCATATTCCCAATTATTTTCAACAACACCCAATCCAAACAAATAATGATTTTTGAAAATCCAAATTCGAATTCAAAGCTTCAAAGCTTTTTAATGGCTGTCAATGGTGGAATTGCTGCTCTCTTTTCCTTTGCTTTATATTACTGAAATTTGGGATTGAGAGATAGAGAGAGACGTAGAGAGAATTCTCAATTCTTTGCAACAACATCCAATCCAAACAAACAAATGCCTTTTGAAAACCCAAATTCAAATTCAAAGCTTTTTAATGGTTGTCAATGGTGGAGGGGCTACAGATTTTTGCTGGTTTTAGAAGAGGAAATCGTGGGTGATTGAAGAGGAAATCGTGGGGTGTGGTTTGATACGTGAGTGAGGTGGTGGGATTTGGAGAGAGAAACTTGGGAGAGTGGGAATATACGGTTGAGTAAAATTAGGAGACTAATTAATACCATTAAAATCCTAAAATGGTACATAAATGGTAATTAGGTATATAGAAGGTAATTATATTAAAAGTTAAGCATAGAGGGTAATATAGTTTATTATATGACATATGAATATAAAAAAAAAAAATCTACAAAAGGCTATTTCCATGGCTCGAGTCCGTATCTCCTAGTCAAATGACAACAATTTTAGTGTCACAAAAAAATATATTTGTAATAGAGTAGTATTTAGCACCTACATAAAGTATTGGATCAGACTATGCTCAAAGTGACCAGGAAAAGAAGAGGGCTTTCAATTCAAGTTTAATAAAAGGAAAAGACCGAAGATGGAATTCTGGATTGTTTCATACTCCTCCAAACTGTCAAAGTGTTTTTCTTTATTTTTTTTAAAGTAGAAAAAAGTAATAAAAATAAAGTTTGGCGATCCCAAGGTGCTTACCTGCACGCTTGCACTAAAAACAATGAAACAAAAAAGCAGAAGCAGTAACGGGAAAATCATGGGAGAAATTCAGAAATAGTTCAGATTTACAACCGGCCGTTCAAAAATAGCTCAGTTTCAAAAGTAATCGAAATTTAATCACTTTTATGTAAAGATAAATCTAAGCGAAAACATTGTTCAAAACCCGAAAAATACGTCAGTATATTATACTGGAGTTCCAGAATAAGTATGCTGGAACGCCAATATAGTATGATGGAGTTCCAGCATAAGTACACTAGAACTCCAACATAATATACTGGAGTTTCAGCAAGTATAATTGTCCAGTATAACATACTGGAGTTTGTAGCACCGGTGCTCCAGTCTCCAGTATATTATACTGGAGTCATCAAAGTATACCGGTCCAGCATAATATGCTGGAGTTCATATACAGGTGCACCGAACTCCAGTATATTATGCTGGACTGATCTCTGTTGCAGCAAAATAGTGGCTATTTTTCATTGACTTCGTAAACGCTGGCTATTTTTGAATGACCAGTCCGAAAACTGACTATACCGTGCTATTTTTACAAAATCATAGAGGTTTAGATCTGAACCTTGAAGTGAAAGCCCATCAGCTTCTCTATCAAGCAAAGAGCAAAGGCAAAAAGGGGCAAACCAAAGCTAAAGTGAGATCAATGGGGGACTTTTATTCTAGCTATTCATACGCACCAGTTTCTTTAACAATTATAAACAAAGTAGAGCAGACCGGTGTACTAAGCTCCCGCTATGCGCAGGGTCCGGAGAAGAGTCGGACCATAAGAGTCTATCGTACGCAGCCTTACACTACATTTTTGCAAGAGGTTGTTTCCACATCTCGAACCCATGACCTCCTGGTCACATGACAACAACTTTACCAGAAGTAGAACATCTTTAAAAAGCATCTGAAATGATGATGGAAACAGCAAAAGCTTAGTAGCCTTCTTTCCTTCAGCACCGTGGACGGAGCTAGGGGCGAAAAGATCTTTGAAAAATTATATTATGTATATATGATAAAAAAAAATTCTAAAGTATGTATATGAGACACTGAATTCCTTGGCTTCTCTTAGTTAAAATCCTGCATCCGCCATTATGCACTATTATTCTCCTTTTCTAACATGAATAATCCATTGGCCACCTTTTCCTCTTTTTTCAGTTTCCCTCTTTATGCACTATTATTCTCCTTTTCTAACATGAATAATCCATTGGCCACCTTTTCCTCTTTTTTCAGTTTCCCTCTTTCCTTCTCCCTCTTGTTTAACGGATTCTCTACTATCTATTGCCCCAATTACTAACCTCAGAATCGACAGATAATTATAGTTAACTGCTCTTGAAATAGCATTAGCCCTTCAAACTCAAAGAACTTGATTAAACAATCTGTAAAACTTAACTATGCCAGCACCTCCCACCACCTACTACAAATCCACGAGAAAAACAAAAATTAAACAACAAAACTAGCTCCTTGTCACAAAACAAAACCAAAAAGAAGAAGATGGAAGGACTGATTCTCATACCACAAATTGATGAAAGCTCTATAGCTAAAAGGTTAATCAAAAAGGGGGTTCATTAACTGTGATTTATAGTTCATCTATTATTTCAGAAACTGCCATTCCAATTCTGGTGACACAACTGAGGTTGCTGATAAGTGATAAGCACCATCTTGAGCTCCTGCGTTACTGCTGCCACACTAACTCCAATGTTGCCTTCCATGGCACTGCCCCAATGATGAGGATTTGCCATTGTGGCAGGCCGTGGAGGATGATACAAGCCTTGAAATTGCATATGGGATGATTCTGCGGCAGCTGGAGCGGCATTGAAAGAACCATGACCAGTGTGGAACGGCAGATAGGCAACATGAGGCGATTGTCCAGGCATGTTTTCGTATTGAACCTGAGTCCAAACTACAATGCTGTCTTTGATTCATCCACATCTCAGGTGTTTCTGCCAGTCAAACAGGTTTCAAGGAGCAAATCAGTTCCCAACTATTTTCAGTCCCCAAACCAAGAACATTCCTAATAATTCGCAACTTGTAAACAATATTAACCTACAGATCAAAACAGCGATTGACACATCTGACCCCAAATACTACGAGTCTACGATAACAAAAGTAGGAAGATGTTCGGATCTACATTTTCGTTCAATATTTCTTGCACGTCTGCATCAGATTAAATTACAAGCAGCGACATTGCCTTTAGATTTCAGAAGATTGACAACTCACACCATCTCACAACTTTGAACTCGAGGAAATTCATCAGTGTAGGCCAAGGTCTACGACTCAAGCCAGCAGCTGCATTTCAATCGGTTCTTGCTGAAGTGGGGCTCCATCCATTTCTCTATCAATCAGTATTTTTAAAAGCAACACGAAAGCAGAGTACACACAAAATGGACCAAATATACATAATACCTAACATACATGAAGTTAGCACCTAAAATATCAAAGCGCAATTCAAATTACTAATTTCAGCATGCAGTACACTACAACAATAATATTAACCCAATAACTCAAATTGGACATAATAGCAACTTCAGAAGCAATATTGATATTCCATCTTCAATTAATCAAGAAGGAGAAAAAGGAAGTATCAAAAAAAAAAGAAGCACAAGTAGTATAAGATGATGTGTTACAAATGGTAGAGAATTTGCATACTCAGAGTAGAAAAAAAGTCATTGTTTGAAGAACAAAAGAAGAGAAACAGAAGAAGTAGAAGAAGATGAGTTAAAACTGCTCAAGAAGAATAAGAAGATAAGGACAAAAAGAATGCTCAAGTGTACATGGAGAGGAGTCCTAGTTGCGCAAGTTGAAAACGCTTTTCCCTTCTCTCCTTTTTGTCACTTAATTTTTCAAGTTTTAAAGTGGAGATTCGAAAATTTGATCGCTTTGTGTTGGGACTACTTTGCGCATCACGATCTACAGCAGGTTATATGCCCTCACTTCGCATTGTACTGACACTTTAAGCGACAGGGCAATGGTTTCTCGATAGTGTGGTAATATTGTGTTGTATACAACTTATGACATGAAAGAAAAGCTGATTCTCGATAGTTAAAGTGAAAGGAACAAAGATACTCACCTGCGGATTAGGAACATAAAGATTATTATCCTTGTACTTTAACCGGGATGAGTCTTCAACCCCTGTCGTACTGCCAATTACACCAGAAGTGTTAACGGCATAGCCAGTCAGACTAGTAAAAGTCCCTAAACCTGAAGTACTTCCTGTTGGGACAGGCTTGAATTGCTGGATTCCATACTTAAGCCCATTTGTGCTAAGATGGGAGCTACCTCCAGGCATCAGCAAGTAATTGCTTCCAGTGGAGGAATGCGGATAGGTTGGGTTACTAGAATAGCCAGGCATACTCATTGGAGGAACATAGGTGGGGGAGCAAATGACTGTATGGCATAAGATTAGCAAAATGGGAAACATGAACTTGGGGGTGCATCTGTGAAACATGCTGTGGCTGTTGTGCTTGCTGCAACATTGGAATTGACGATGCAGAAATGCTACTTGTGGCATGTGAACTGAGGAGCTGCAGATGGAAAGCATGACATGTAGGTCATAGAAAACACTAGAATAGATGTGGAGTTACAATATCAAATGTGATAAAACCCAAGTTATAAAAAATTGCAGGTACATATCCTTATCTGAGCATACAAGTACAATCATAACTACAAGTGTTGCGGGGAGGGTCATCATGATTGCTTTACAGTTAACAAATGGCCACGAGCAGATTCATCAACTGCTGGTCTAAAATATTTTGTCCAGTTTGAGGATCATAGGTCGCTTACATCCCATCCAGTAATAATAAGTGCAGAACAAGTAAATAGGAGCTGGAAGAGAAAAGTTAGATTTGTAACATGACCAAAAAAGAACATAAACCAAACTGAAGAACATGAACTCACTAACAATCTAGGTAAATCAGGAGCATCTTGTTTCTGTTGTGATTTGGAGGGAGTATAAGATGAGCTGTTATCTCGAACCTACCCTACAACTTAGTAATTTTCAAAATTCTAAGCAGTTGATGACTCTTTTTATCTGTCATTGATGATCTAAAGTTCCAACAGATCCAGGATATCAGCCCCTGAATTTCGAACATTATAGCTAGCTATATCAACTGATCGCTATCAACATGTTCATCACTCAAAGGCCTTAGTAACCAAAACTGACAAGCTGGCACTGTAATAAAATCATTTCGAGTATAGTCAAAATTCGGGTTAGGAAAAAAAGAGAAAATGAAAGAAGCAGCTATATATTTACAGTTCGCCATCTAAGCACAACTAGAAATGTTGAACAGAGAAGCATCAAAGTACTAGGAAATTCTATTAACAGTATAGATACTTCATTGCCTTCTCCAGTTCTCCTTTTTTTTTTTTCCGCCCCGTCAGACAGCTGAGAAGACGACAAACATTCAAAGGAAAAAATAGGGAGAAAGTGATACCCGTCTACACAGATTTCATCTACCGACAACAAAGACTCAATTTTATAGACTTGCAAAGGCTGGTGGAACATTTTTCTGTTAACTTAGAGTCTCAAACACTTATCCTAGGGACTACCAATAATACGACAGAATTCTATAATCAGAATTCAGAAGTCACATTGCTGTCAATAAGTTGTGCCTTACCCTAACCCATCTACAATTGTATATCAAATCCCGAATATTAAAGGAGTAACTGTGGCGTTCTATATTCAAGCACCCTGAAAGTTCTTAACGGCATACAAATAATTCCACGAGTGAAAAAAATTATCATGAGAAAGTGACGCATAGGACAGTCCAACATACCATATGAAGTAGGAGATAACAAACCTTGGTGGGTCAGTGTGTGATACTTGGCCCAAATCCTTCGAAGATATTAAATCAGCATAGCAAACTGTCAAACTCCGGTCAGTGCCCAAAAAACACAGCTTCTGAAGGTGTTCCAATAGCCCCAGGAACATTGACAATTGAGTTCTGGTTCATCTTAGGCTTCCGTTGAACAGCTATATGAACAATTACTTGCACTTTGCACATAAGTGAATCTAGCATTTGGACCATTTGGTCATATTTGTTATTTGTAAATACTGAAACAGATACTGTGGAGATGCAACTTACGAAATGCATTCTAAAAATGCAACTGACAAATCGTATTCTAGATGCGATTTCTTTAACAACAGACACCAAAGTACAATATTGTATTCACTTCTTATACCACCTGTGAACACCAGCTGCAAATACATAGAGACATAAAAAAAGACTGCAGATCCACAGTAGCTTCCAATTTCACACTAATCTGTCACTAAATCTGAACAACAGCTTCAGTTTCAGTAATATTACAAGACAGCAGCAAGCAGGAGCTATCATGTCATCCTATGTACATTAAGCTGATCACATTTAGCTATCAAAATATTAACATTAAGCTAATCACAATAAAAAATTCGCTGCCGTGTCATCCAATGTACACCGCAAGGTCGCAGCAGTCAGAGGTGTGATGGATTACATAGTCGCGGTGGATTTGTTGGTTCCTCGGGCTGAGATGCACGACGTTTGTAAACTAGCCTCGTGCCCTCGTCTCTCTCTCTCTCTCTCTCTCTCTCTCTCTCTCTCTCTCTCTTCCTCGTACGGGAAGTGGTTCCTCGGGTCATCATTCACAAATCCAATAGTCGTAACACACGAAGCTGAATCAATATAAGTCACTGCAATTGGGGTATTATCAAAGAGGAAAGGTCGGGATGTGCAGGGAAACGTGTGCGTTATCATCATCAGCCATTTCCATCTTCCAAATCACCGTAAGCATAGGCGGATCCAGAAATTAAATTCTATGGGTTTAACTTTTAAGGGTTTTAGCATTAAACCCATTATATATGTAAAGTTATGGGTTCATATCTACTATTTTTACAATTTTAATAAATTTTTACACATACATTTTTATTTCGCGTCGAAAGTTATGAGTTCAATTGTACCCGGTAGTAATACACTACATCCACCCCAGGCTGTAAGCACTAATATCCAAAACAAAGTAAATGCAAGAAATCACATGAATTATCACATAAGTAAAAATTCTACGAAAAGCTAGGACTTAGTGTCAAACTATGATAAACAAGCTAGTCATGTAAGTCACTTATTTAACTTCACTGCCACCAGTTCTACCATTTCTTCCATTATACAAAGGCAACTGCGACAACTGTGAGCATTTGAAACATTAAAGTGGAACCTAGGGAAGAGAAGCATATGACAATATAGAAATGCATCTAGGAACCCAAAAGGAAAAGCAGAAAATGAACCGGAAACAGAAGAAAAGATAGAAGAATACAAGTACGTACTATAAATCATGCTCACAACTCAAAGCTGGAAATAATATCAATAGATTGTTAATGAATTACCTAAAATCAAATGATTTTGGAGGGGAATCAGGGGAGGGCGATTTCACTCCTACGGATTTTTCTGAAAGGAAAACGCATCACGAAGCCGCAGAAGGAATTTTATCTTTGCTAAAAAACAATCAAAATGAGCCGGCATTACATCTTTCACCGTCACGGAAAGGTAAAATACAAAAATGTGTTCACGACTTAAAGAATCGTATTTGATCATTACGACTTATAAACCGCGTTTGCTGATTGGACTTATAATCAATTGAAATACTCAAATTCCATGGTTTAAGTTGCATTATTCAAAGGGATTGTTGCATTGTTCAAAGGGATTGTTGCATAAATAGTCACGTAGATTCAATGTTTGTTTTTTAGTTAGTATACATAGATTATATATAAATTATACACAATTATATATATATATATATATATATATATTATACATCAGCCGACTATTTTTAATTTAAAAGATTAGGTGAGCGGATATTTGAGTTAATTCTTCTTATTCAAATGTTTTTCTAAGTCGTATTCTCAAATCCAATCTATAAGTCACATCTACCAAGGGGATATTGCATATAGACACAAAAACGACAGAATGCGACTTATAAGTAATGAGACTTATAAATGCATTTGCTAATTGCGCTATGCCTATAACCAATCCAAAAGTGCTAGTTTAAACTTTAAAGACTCTACTGCAAGATTTTCCCACATATATTGGTGGTTCAATAGGTTTAAGACCGTAATTAATATTTAATTAATGAGCAAATCTCATCCATCCAATCGGTTACTTGATGGACGTACCGGATTAAGTGAGAATCTGTATAAATTGGTCTTCTCCCCGCCCAAGGGTTACCATATTTGCTATTCTCTCTTCCATCACTAAAGTTGGCGGTAATGAAAGTTAGGACAAACTTTTTTGTAACGATTATATGTAAGATTATCATGTTTAAGATTCTGGTATGAATTAAGTTTATGTTGACATGTGATATCATGAGCATGAAATTTGAACTGATAATCTTCGCGTATGAAAGCCAAGATGACTTAAGCTTCGACCTGATAACATCTTTATTTGAATATGATTACAGCGGTAATCTAATGTTACGTTCTGGAGGCTTAGATTTGTCTCGTAAATGTCGTTTTGGATTATGCCAAAGTAGGAGACAATATTATGTTATTGTGTTTAAAGCATCTACATTAAAATAATTTTATAATTGAATCATGTGCAATTGAAACAAAGCAATGTTTAGGAATTAAGGGATTTTGGTGATAAAGCCATAGTGATGGCGTTCTTAGAAAGTTAATGCCGACGGCCTTTACTGTCTAATATTTTTGGCTATATCTGTTTGATGCTCTCTTAGGGTTCCTAATTTTATGGTTTAATTTTTAAAATAAATAAATAACTATATTATCTACTTGAGCCGGAACATGCCAAATATGGAGATTAGGCTAATTACTTTTGTATGTGAACCGCCTAAGGTCTTTGGACTCAAGAAGATGATGCAGTCTAATTCCTAAATATATAGGACCACTAATTTACAGATTTTGCATATGTTGCAGTAACAGTATATAAACCCCACATATTGATTGTGATTTGGTTCTTATAATATGAAACAATTAATGCATGTGCTTCAGTTATATAGTTTGTTAGTCATCAAAGTGATCAAACTAGAATGTTTAAAATATTCACATACATAAAATTTTGTGATGTTTATTTTATGTGTGCATTTATGTTTATATAGTTTGTTAGTCACCAAAGTGGCCAAACTAGTATGTTCATGAAAAAATTGCATACATAAAATTGTACTTTATCCATGAAATTAATGAAGTGACAATAATTAAAAAATTAGAGGATATATTAATTTTCACTATTGCTACAACTTAAGGATTTACTCAAAGGTGAATCAACTATTCTATGAATAGTGAATATGATGAGGTAAAATTAATATTCTTTAGTAAGATATATATTGTCTGTCCAAAGATGGCATATATATTTTGTTCGAAATATCTAATTACCTATTAAAGACTAAATGACATTTAAATTATGATAGTATGCTGTAGTATCTATCCAAAGGAGAATTGCGATATGCTTTAACTGTTTTGCTGAATCCATATTGATTTGTGAGCATGTATTATCTATTTTGCAGCTATTCCTCTTCATTCGCATGCTTCGTCTGTTACTATGTTCAATGGATTGAACTTCTCTGAATAGCATGAACAAGTCCAGTTCCACTTAGGTATGATGGATCTTGACTTGGCTCTGCTGAATGATAAGCCCGCTGCCATTACTGATTCGAGTAGTGCGGATGAGAAATCTTTCCATAAAGCATGAGAACGCTCTAACATGTTGAGCCTTATGTTTATGCGAATGAGTATTGCCAACAACATTAAGAGTAATATTCCACAAACAGAAAGTGCTAGAGAATACCAGAAGTTTGTGGAAGAACATTTTCATTCCGCAGATAAGTCTCTCGCTAGTACACTAATGGCTGAACTCACGACCATGAAGTTTGATGAGTCACATATTATGCAAAATCATATCATCGAGATGACTAATATTGCAGCAAGACTTCAGACCTTGGGGATGAAAGTTGACGACTCCTTCTTGGTTCAGTTTATTCTAAACTTGTTGCCTCCTAAGTATGGACCTTTTCAAATTAATCATAACACTATTAAGGAAAGTGAAATATTAGTGAATTATCCAGTATGCTTACTCAGAAGGAGTCAAGACTTAAGAAACAAGGGAGTCATTGAATTAACCACACGGGTCAAGGAGCTTGTAAAAGATTAAAGTGAATGACAATAAGTTCAAGAAGAAGAAAGCACCTGCTAAAGCTCCGCAGGATGCTAACAAGGAACATAAGGCAGATATGTGCCGTTTCTGTAACAAGGAAGGACACCATCAGAAAGATTGACTGAAACGTAAAGTTTGGTTCAAAAAGAAAGGTACAGTTAGTGCTTTTGTATGTTTCGAATCAACTTTAATAGAAATTCCTAATAATACTTGGTGGCTTGATTATGGTGCAACTACTCATGTATTTACTATGTTGTAGGGATTCCTTACGATCCAAACTACAAATCCAAATAAGGATTTCTTGTTCATGGGAAATCGTATGAAGGCTCCAATTGAAGGCATAATGACTTATCGTTCGATCATAAAGACTGGATGTCGCCTTGATCTATTACATACTCTTTATGTACCTTCAGTTTCTAGGAATTTGATTTCTCTTTCAAGACTTGATATTTCTGGATTTGATTTAAAGTTTGGAAATGGATGTTTTAATTTATATAAGAATGTTATTTTTTAAGGTTCTGGTATTCTTAGTGATGGTTTATATAAATTGAAACTCATTTTTCGTCTGAATCCCTTCTTACTGTTCAACATAATGTTGGAATTAAACGTAGTTCACTAGATGAAAGTTCTGCTTACTTATGGCATAGACGTTTGGGTCATATATCCAAAGAAAGGTTATACAGATTAGTAAAAAATGAGATTTTTTTCGAATCTAAATTTTACTCATCTTAATATATATTTGGATTGCATTAAGGGAAAGCAAACCAAGCATAGTAAGAAAGGTGCCACAACAAGCATACAGCTTCTTGAAATTATACACAGATATTTGCGGACCCTTTGGTGTTCCATTTTTTGTGAAAAAATATTTTATCACTTTTATCGAAGACTTTTCATGTTATGGATACATCTATTTGCTGAAAGAAAACTCTCAAGCAACAGATGCTCTCAAAGTGTTTGTTAATGAAGTTGAAAGGCAATTAGATATAAAAGTAAAAATCCTTAGGTCAGATAGAAGTGGTGAATATTATGGAAAATATAATGAATCAAGACAATGTCCATGTCCATGTCCATTTGCAAAGTTCCTCGAGGAACATGGCATATACGCACAGTTGTGACAACCCCGGTTTTCCCTCCATGAACCATCGTGACGGCACCTAGTCTTTACAACTAGGTAAGCCTAATTTGCGGAAGAAAAACCAAAATTTTGTGGAAGTAAACAATTTAAAACAGAAATAAAGCAGTAACAATGTTTAAATGTGTCGCTCGGCATACACCATACTTAACTCTCAATACCAAAATGTAAATCCAAGACCCGGAAACCCACGAATCATAAGCTAAGATCAATACTACATGGCTCTAACTCCGGAATGTCTAATAAGAACAGAAAAATACAGAAGGGCTAAAATACTAAAAGCAGGAATAGAAAGGGACTTCTCGGTCTGCAGACGCGGCAGATGTACCTCGAAGTCTCTAGAGCAGTCGCCTCCTCAATGATGATAAGCCTGAGTAGCAGTATCTGGATCTGCGCATGAAAAACATGCGCAGAAGGGGCATGAGTACACCACAGCGGTACTCAGTAAGTGCCAAGCCTAACCTCGGTTGGGTAGTGACGAGGAAGGTCAGGGCCCTACTGAGGTTAAATAAAATATAAAGATGACAGGATAAGATAAGTAGTGCAATTGAGAATCTACAGTAAGAATCTATATAGGATAATAAGAGTACAATAACGGAAACAAAGATGAAGGCAAACCACAAGGAAGTAACCGGGGATCTCTTTATCCCGAGGCTCTCTTAGTACCCTCAATATATGCCAGGGATCTCTTGGTATCCCGAGGATCTCTCGGTATCCTCAATATATGCTAGGGATCTCTTGGTATCCCGAAGATCTCTCGGTATCCTCAATATATGCTAGGGATCTCTTGGTATCCCGAGGATCTATCGGTATCCTCAATGTATGATAGGGATCTCTTAATATCCTGAGGATTTCTTGGTATCCTCAATGTATGATAGGGATCTCTTGGTACTCCGAGGATATCTTGGTGTCCTCCATGTAAGATAGGGATCTCTTGGTATCGTCAATATACGTGCTGGGGATCTTTCGGTATCTCGCACTTCAGCTCAAATCGTAAATGTGTACATGGGATCTCCCAGGATGCCGTCCCGTAGTCCCAAAGTAAAACACACAACAATGGCACAAGGAGTACTCAAATAAACTCAACTTCATAACGAGGTAACACAGACAATTCTAACCTAGCATGATTCACGTAATACAAATAAGGCATTTAAAGCAATTAAGTCAATTAGACATGTTCTCTAACTAACAGCAGATTAGAAGTGCAAGTTGAATAAATAGAAAGGGAAAACACAATTAAAGTTACTTAATGAAAACCGGATTTTCAACAATTAGCACAAGTACGCACTTGCTACCTCATATACAAGGCATTTCAATTATCACAATATCAATCCTAAGGGGAAAGTCCTCCACACAAGGTTAGACAAGT